CAGCACTCCCCCCTTACAGCGATGAATCTTGCTGCAAGACTTTGTTCTCTACGATTCGAAACTTACATCAAATACCTTGGCCAGGCCTCCTTCCCTCAGCCATCTGAAGAACGTCTCTAAATTCTGTCCATCTCTTTCCTTTTCAGATGTTGGTCAGTTTGGCTTGAATAGCTTTTTTTTTTACCCATTGTTTGGTGGAAACGACTCAACTTCAGTTCCAACCACAGAAACCCAATAATAACCCATCACCTTCCACATGTGGGTATAGTAGCATCAATTATTGATTTTCACAGCTTGTACCTCTGTGACTGTATTGTGTTCAGTATGCAACAATTTGACAAATAAATTTAGATAAAAGGTGATGTGTTGCTGAAATCCAAGCAGTGACTGTTCAGCTTGGCTATAATTCGGTTTCCTTTGCTCACGTCGGACAAAACAAAAGCTTTGCCTCAAAATGCCAAATCTTAAGTGCTATTATGATGCTTTTCACTTCCTTTTGTTTAATGTTGTGCTCTGCCCTATGTCTCCTCAAAAATAAAATGTCTTTCTCCCTTATCACACAAGATCCTTTCCCTCACACTCATTGAAGCACCAGAGACTCGTGTGTCTCAAAGTACTATTCATGTCGCACACATCTACACCATCGTGAGTGTTTTTCAACTGACCTCTCTCAGAAACACGAGTGTGGTTCGGATTCATTTGAAATGACTTAAAACATCCATATTTACATGTGTTTATTCAGCTTGATGTAAGATTTCATCCAGGTCTCTGCACGGCAGCCTTTCGCAGTGCTGCTGCCAGTACTGCGTGCCAACATTCAGCACATCCACCTCAACCGCGACAGTGATTTTATTTAGTCGCATGCTGGTTATTTTGTCAAGTATAAGGCCAAAAGCGCGACAGTGGCAGTCATATCAAACTCGGCTCCATCCCGACTGCGCTGGTTCCGAAAAGGTCAACTCATGACTCCTGCCATGTCCGTTCTATTTTTGGAGCTCGGTGTCATTTGCCAGCAAGTGCTTGGTGTTCTAGAAAGTTTTAGGGCGAGGGTGCTGAGCTTATATTTAAAAAACAAAACGATATAAAATTTTTTTCAAGATTTCATGCACTTTGAATAAAAGCTGCTGAAAAGCCAGCGGCAGCACTGACCTGTAGTTCTGTTTTCACGTTGCCTCCACCAGAAGAACTCTGGTCCAATGGAGTCTGGAGAGAAAGTAAAACACGATTCCAGTCGTCAGCAGCCCACTGTCTCAATGGGAATGGAGTTTCCCCACAGAAACGGTGGCGAGTCCAAACCATCAGCAAAACCATCGGCAAAACCACAATGTAGAAAGAACTGACGTTTTAAGTTTTCAAAGTTGAACTTGTGATTGCATTGAATTCAGACAGGGATTTCACATTGCAGCAGCTACTTTTCTGTTCTTCCACAGTGTGCAGAGTTCACTCTGGTTCCAGCAGATTTCTGTTCACACACTTGACAACCGCAGGAAAAGCAAAGAAAAATTTTTTTTGCTTTGTTTCTAGTGCAAAAATTCTTATTACACTTGACATAAGACAAAACTAACTTCCAAATAACTTGTCATCTGGCTTTCAGTCAATAGTTCCTTAATATTGATGAAAAGGTACGAGATGCAGTGGCAGATTATTTCAGTTATAACAGTGTGAAATATCCTACCAGTGGATTTAGTACTTTTTAGTCAATACTGAGACATTAATCAATTCAAACAATCTCTTTCATATTGCTGAAAAGCAGCTTCTAAGACAATTTTGTCCCATTTCAAGTGTGCTAAGAATTTTGCGCTCGAAGCTAAACTAAAAAAATGACTCGGTAAGATTTTGAGTTTTTGAAGAGGAATCACTGACGACATCAAGTTTATCAAACTTGAGGCCCAGATTGGACCTGAACTGCGGCTCCATTGACTCTATAGAGGCTCAAAGACGGAACTGTGAGCTTAAACTTTATGACAAATGAGCTTTTATTTAAATAGTGCCAAATTACATCAATGTGAAAAGATTGAATGCAGAAAAAGCCTGTAATTAATTTATTTTTTTTTACAGTTTGTTCATGTATAGTTTTATCAATACATTCTACCTCAGCTGGTCCTTTAAATGAAGGATTTCCCAACCAGTCATTCGGTTTTCTCACAGGTTACATTTAGGTTTCATTTTGAATTTTTTTCTACATTATTAACACCATTTTAAAAAGACTACATTTTGTGTTCACAAGTGTCAATTTTGACAAATATTTAAATTGATTTGATGTCTTGACATTCTGAGACACTGAAGAGTGACAAACATGCAAAACGTAGGACATCCAAAGCCTGCAAACCCTTTTATGCAATGCTGACCACTGGTGTCTAGTACCAAACTGATCACTGTTGTTGCTGCTGCGGTGCTGGTGGGCTTCACAGGAAGTGGGACCCAACCTAAATTCTGCTCAGGGCCCTGTGCGGTCTAGCTCCGGCTCTGGTATTTATCAAACTGACCGAAGTCCAAACCCCTAAGCCCAAAACGGTGCCGATGGTCACACATTACAGCTACGAATATTTGAGTGTTGAAAGAAAAATGAGCTTCAGACCTGATGTGAACCCCAGGATCTTTAGACTGCAGTTCTACCTAATGGGACCGAAAGGGCAGAAAAACGAACTGGGACATATCAGACATGCTGTCGGCGGTAAACTGGCCTCCTGCCGCTTCGTCCTTGGGAGACTGACCCATCTTCCACTGGGCCGCTGTGAGTCACCCATCTTTTCCCTCCATGGGTGGCGCTCTGCTTTGTTAGCCAGTTGAAGAAAACAACAGCCTCTGTCTCTGCTCTCCTCTCATCTTTATTTCCCACTTCTCTCTCGCTCTCTCAAAGTTGCTCTTTATTGTTATTCATCCCTGATAGAGACCGACTGAACTCACGCTCCCCACTGTAGGTCACATCTGGCTGCAAGACAGCTTACATTTGGGCTTATGGTGCATTATGTTCCACATCTGGCCACCCACCGCACTCAGTGGAACAACATAAAAAAAAAAAAACAGCCTTCTGTGCTCTGATCATTTGTCCCGCTCATATATTGTTCCAAATGCATTAAAGGGGAAGTGGTGTGTGTTTTCCAGGCACATATTTTGTAGCACAATGAGGCGACGGTGTTGACTTGTTTTTAAAAAATGCTATACATATCAAATGTGACTTAAAATGAATGCAACGCCTTGAAATTTGGCATCTGTTTCTTTAAGTACTCCTTCTCTTTCTGAAACTCCTCCTTCATAAAGTCATCAAAGCATGGCTCTTCCATGAACCTTTTAACAACATTTTCAGAAGAGACGTAGCTCTTACAATGAGCTCAGCAGATGTGCAGTTCCGTCAGGTGTTTGCTAATTGCTGCTGGCTAGTCTGAAGGAGCTGTGGGGGTTCTGTGCTCTTCTGTGAGGTGGAAGCTCAGAAAGTTAGAAAATGCAGATCCAAGGAGGAGCTTCGTCCTCGAAGGCGGGGCTAGATCTGCCCATGTGTTTTGCACAGCTGGTTGGTTGCTGTGGGAAATTAAACGATTTCTCAAGCAAACTGGACAAGGTATGTTTTTGATGAGGGAATAGCATTTCAATATATATAAAAAAAAAGAGTCAATTTTACACTGTACTACTTCTTCAACATCCTTCCCATCATGACTTAAAGCTCTTCGTTTTCAGCACCGCTGAGCAGCTCCGATTGAACTCCACTCCCCAGCAGTTTCTCCTCCGTCTTCACACAGGCACCGTTCAGCAGTTCTCAACTAACTGGAGTACGGATGGATGTCAGGCTGTAATTTCTTTCCCCGGGCGCACTCAATCTGGCACGGCGGCGCACTTGAGCCATCCATTTCCCCACTTTTTTTCCCCACAGTTGACGCCGGTAGCTATTGCCTGTTTATAGACGCTCCTGGCAGGCTGAACATGTGTGGCTCTGTGAACCCTGCACAGGTGCTGCAGAGTTTGCCAGCTGGCCGTATCTTATCTGTCTGCTGCTGCGGTAGGTTAACGGCGACGTCACGAAGCTGCTATTTTCAGTCCACGAAAACATCCACATCAGTGTCAGTACATTAGCCCTCAGTGACCGGGGCACCGCTGGTAGAATGGAGCCAGGAGTATTTATGATGCTTATCATCATATTTATCATAGAAATGTGTGTTTTTCAGAGGTGACAATACTAAGGAAGGGCATATTTAATAGAAATGAGTCAAGCAAGGATAGAGTAAATACACAGTAAACAGGTAAAAGTGCCAGAATATGTCTCAACGTATGACGCTCTAATCTGTTTACGCCATGAACTGTGGATTTTTTTTTCCCCACTCATTTTTTTTTCTCCAGTGTGTTTTAGTTGGTGTGGCATTCAGTTCTTTTGTCGTTCCAATGCTGCCACTCCATGGCGAACTGAAGAACTGCAGGCACTCTTCCAACTACTTCCTTTGCACATCAAGTCTATTCAGTGAGATGACTCGGAAAAAATTGGACTGCTCCAACGCATGCATTCAGTGCTTTGTGTTCATGACACTTTTAGCGTTTTCAGATTTTTATAAGCTGCAACTTAATACATGAGAAGAGAGTATTTCTGTGATAGATGAAGATATTTTTCAATATGTCTGCAAGTGAAAATCTGAAGGGTGTGATGTGTGCATACTGTTAAAAACATGTTACATACACTGAATTTTTTTTCTTTACTAGGACATTATTGATAGTTTTCATTGCTACTTATCAGAATAGCTATGAGATTTATAATCCAGAGCATTTAGCCCCATTGCTTTTAGCCTTAAACACAGCTCAATTCATCCAGGGCTACTATCCTGCAATTTTCATGTCAACACAGTTGAGCTAATTATGAACAATTCATTGCCAAGCCTCTGCTGTGCTGAATCAGTGAATGCTGATGAGGGAATCCGGTCATTTGCTTCAGGCGTGTTCACAGGTCAGTTCCACATGTGGTCGTGTAGACGGTGATGTTGACGGACAGAACATTGCTTCTGCCAGTGGCAATGAAATGTATTTTCGAAATTTATTGAAATGCAACAAAACACAGGTAAGATCTTTCGCACATTTGGAAAAACAAAAACATTTAAGTGCTTGGTTGTGCTTGCCCATTTAATGCTGCAGGAAGTTGCGTCGAGCTACGTTCAGGGGGCAGAACTAGCGTGACGGTTCCCATTTACCATGGAAGTCAGAGGTCAGATCTCAGGATGCTGCTACGCTCAGGATAACTGTGTTCTGGTTGGACAACCAGCAGGAAATGCTAGCTGTTCTGGTCTTACTTGAACAACAACTAAGAAATCTACTAACATAAAGTTAAACTTTAATTACAGACTGATTTTAAAGGTGAAAACCTCGCAATGTCCCAATTTCAAAGTTAGGGGTGAATCAACTTGATTTTCCTAACTATGAAACTCAAAACTCTGACTTCCAGTAGCAAATGAAAACATTAGGTTGTCTGTGTATTGTTAATATCAGAGCTGATGACACAATGACAAACGACTTTGCTCAAGCAATTCAGCCAAATCATGATTACAGTCCTATTTATCTACAGTTGCATATTAGCCCTGGCTTGGCTTCAGACATGAAAAGAGGATGCTAGCTTGGTAAGCTAATGATTGGCTTGTGTTTAGGTTTGCTTAGAAATGTTTCCCACATCTGGGTGGGAAACGTGTGAGCATTGTTTGAAACTAAAGGCACTCAGAAAAAAATAAAAGACATTTCAGGAAATCTTGACAATCTTAAGGATGTTAGCGGTCTGTAGCTAAGTCTAAAGCTACACCAACAAATTAACTTTTTTCTAAGCAGGCTAGCGTAAAAAAAATCGGGAGCATCGTACGACCTTTTTCCACTAGCACCTAGCAACATAGCTCAGCTTGGCTAAACTCTACATAGTTCAGCTGTAGTGGGTTGTTTGTTATGTAGTTATTCAGACCCACAGACAGAAAACTTCAGAAGAAAAACACAACAATGGAAACTGTTGAACATTTCTGCTAAGTCTGCCATTGAGCTTAAACCTCCTAATGGACTCAGTTGATGTTTTGAGTTTTCACAAAACAGCAATATTGGCAGGAATATTGTATAGGAGTCACAACCAGTGACTCTATCCCCGTGCCGAGTGGATATTAGTGGAAAAGGGCCAACAATGTACATTTTCAGGGCAATACATTCCATCATATCACAGTGCGTTCCATCAGGACTCACAGCCTTCCAACATCTTCACATTTTGTGACGTTACAACCACAAACAACAAAGAAGAAGAAAATAAATCTGAGGTTTCAACAGATAAAAACCTTAAAATTGAGTAAGAGATATATATCCAGCCCACATGTGTTGATACCTGTTGAACATTCTTTCATTGAAAGCGTCACGTCTTTTCCAGCTTCACACAGCTGGAAACTGACTGACGTTTTTGCTCGCCTATCTTTGAAAAACGACAATGAGGTTGGATGGAGGGATTACGAACGGTTTTTAAGTCTTTGCCAACGATTCTCAATCTTTGGCAAACGGACCCGCTTCCTGCTAAGCATGATGCTGCCGCCACTAAGTTTCACACATACAGTCTGAATATCACATCTGACCAGAGCGCACTTTTCTAAATTTCTGTCTGCCATCATGACTTGTTTGAAACTTTGAACAACTTTAATCGTAGCTTTGGTTCAACAATGGCTGCCTTCTTTTCATTCTCCTGTAAATGCCAGATCCCAGGAGTGAAGGACCAATTCTCCAAAGTGAGCAGCGAATCTCTGCAGCTCCTCCATTATTGTCATGGGCTGGTTCTCTGATTACTGCCTTCCTTGAAAGTAGTGGTTGTAATGTGACAAAATGTGAAAGGTTTCAGGGATTAGGAGTACTGTAACATTAAATAGTACTTAATATATTATACATTACATATGAAACAGGGTTGGTTAATAATAACTGTCATTCTTAAGGCACCATCTGAGACTTATGGCTTTCTATAGTTGTTTTGGAGTCACAAGAGAAGTTGCATTCAGTTTACTGCGTCGGCATGTTAGAGCCATTGTAGACAGAAAAAAAAAACAAGATTTTTGCCGAATTAACGCAAATTTGTAGAAAAACTAGAAAATTTGAGTTTGAACAGTCAAAAATTTGCTAGAAAATCTCTGAAATTTGAGAAAAAAAACTCGGAAATTTCGCCGGCTTGCTGGAAAAAACTTTTGAGATCGATTTTTTTCAGAAAGACCTCAGAAGACTTCTGAGTTACAAAACTTGAAAATGTTAAGATTTTCAAAACAGAAATTTTTACGTCTTTTTTTCTCTCAAAAATTTCAGAGAAAATGTGGCGAGCAAACTTTTTTGCTTTTCCCTGAAAATCCCTGTGCTTAACCTCAAAATTCTCTGAACATTTTCTGGCAATTTGTTTGACTTTCAAGGAGATCAAATTTTGAGATTGATCTCCATATTTCTGTTTTTTGGTGAAAATGTACTAGTTAATTTTCTTTTCTTTTCTATCGACAGTGGTCCCAACACGTCATTGTAGTTTACAAATATGTATATATATATATTACATTTCTCTGAAATCAAAGTTACAAAATGATTTCCAGCATTCTATGTTGCTACAAATTTGCTACAGTATATCTCTGTTACATAGTTACCCTGTATGTGATCTAACAGTCTCGGCTTTGTTCTTATAGCTCAATAACATTGGGTTTAGGGTTTACTTACAGTGATGCTTTGCATCTTTGTGGAGGTGGGGTTTTGTTTTCTCAGCAAGCCAAGGAGGAGAGTGAAAAATAGTGCATTTGTAGCGGCAATGAAACACTTGCTGTCTTATGCAGGGCAACATCTCCTAAATGTCCCCAGCAGACGGCTCACTAAGGCGTTGGCTTTAACAGGGGACAGTCATGTTGGCTTCCAGGTCACCTCGGTTTCCAGACCTCTCCTTGACCGCAGAGCATTTTGCGAGCATTTAACAGTATAAGTTAAGCTTCTCTTCCACTCCAGAATATCCACCCCCCAGTCTTTGTTGCTATCGAGTTTCTTTTTGTTTTGTTCTTTTTTTTTTTACTTTCCTGAGCTCATCTTCTGCTGGCTGTTATATTTCTGTGCAATCCCGTAAGGAACGTGCGCGGCGACGGTGCCCATCTCCGCCGCTCCCTCCACGTGAAACATCTGGTCGTCGAAGTATATGTGCGGGCGGATCTTCTCCAGCATGGGGCCCTTGGGGGCTCCGGCGAGGAACAGCGCCTCGTCGATCTCCAGCCCCCAGGCCCTGAGCGTCTTCAGCGCCCGGATCCCTGAGCTGGCCGCGCTGCGAGCCGTCACCAGGTACGTGCGGATGGGACAGTCCAGGCGTTGACCTTTGGCGTAGAATTTCTTCTGCAGCTTCCCCAGGGCCTCCAGGAAACCCTTCAGGGGACCCTGCAGAAAAGATTTCAACTTGTTACATCTTGTGTGTTTTTAGGGCTCATTCACACCAGCCCTGTTTGTTCCACTTTAATCAAACTCTAGTTTGTTTTGCCTAGAATGTCCAGTGCACTTGGGGAGGTGGGAGAAAATGTAACGAATGTTGTAGCTTTTTTTCGATTGAACCGAGTCTACTGCACTATCAGGTGTGAAAACACACATAGATGCAGCTCAAGCACAGTGTTTCCACACAACATCGACTGAATCGCAATCATTTCATTTTGTATTCTATGAAAATTATACATTATATTTTAAAGGTTGTCCACAGTTTGTTGGAAATACTTTTAAAACAGCAACAATCTTTTTATTTTTTAGATTAGCATCAGGTTTCCTCTGTAGCAACTTCAGATTCAGAAACTGTAGAGAAAGTTCTACAAACGTGATCCAGGAGCGTGTCCTCGTTTTCCTTCTCGTGCTCGAAGAACTTGTCCAGGCCGTGGGTCTTGAAGATGCGCTCGGACTCGTCAGAGAACAGGACGGCGTCGCCATCGAACGCCACCCTCAGCTGAGACTCCGACACCTCGGTCAGCTTCTCCGTCATGAACATGGTCGCTGCTGCGATGCCTGAGCGCAGACGCAGAGAGAGACGAGACAGACTGGCCACGCGCTCGGCTGGAGGAATTTAAATTAACTAGCGGTGTGTTAGAGAAATAGAACGACATCTTTTAGGTATTGACAAAATAAAAAAAGAAGCATAGCTACTGTAAAAAAAAAATAAAAAAAAAGTCATTTGCAAATATTACTAAAACTATTTTTTGTGAATGAATTCGCTCCCCAAACCAAACAGAATACTACGAAGGCCCTTAAAGGCAATAGGAAAACTTTTTATTGATCAGCCACCTTCTGAATCGGGCCAAATTTTTCTTTTTGTCAGGACTTTAAAAGTAATTTAAAAGTAAGAAAATAAAAAACAACAATAATATAATGTCAGTATCACTTGGCAAGTTTTCACTTTTCCTTCAGAATTTAAGTGAGAAGAAAAGCAAGACATGAAAGCAAAAAATATATATTTTCCACTTTGCCGGTTGTTGGTTGTTGAAATGGAAGAAATATATTTATTAGAAAAACACATTTTTCACATTTTGAACATCATAAGTCTCTTTTTAATCTTGATTTATTTTTTTTTTTTTTCTTGCACATGACTTTAAATAATAATAATAATAAATATTTGGCCAGACTATATTTCTCCTCCTGATTTTAGAGCTCCCATAGAATACAGACATTCAGCAGATGAGTAACTTCAAATGCAGCTTTACTGAAACCCTTCACTTAAAATGGAGAACAATGTGAATTATTACCTGGAAGACAAAGTTTTGTGTGTCTCTTCTAAACATCATACCCTCAGTAGACTAAATGGCCGTCAGAACGTTGTCGTGTGTGCAGTGCGGTGCTCTCACCTTCAGCCAGCGCCTCCCTGACTTTCTCGGCGTCTGCAGACAGGTAGAGGTTGGTGTGCCAGGCCTTCAGGTAGCCAATCGGACTGCTTCCTCCGGTCATACAGAACCTCTCGATAAATAAGTCTGGGAATGAGACCAACAGAAGGCAGCAAGGTTTTTTATTTCATTGCATACCGTGGAGTTGAATGTCAGCATTCCTTAAAGGGGCAGTGTTATGTGTAAGTGTCATTTTATGGCATAGTTAAGTAACTGTGCCACCTTATGTTTTAAAAGTTCTATAAATATCAAATATGACGCAAGAGAAATTTTATTTCTTTATTTAATGTCTTCAAATTGGGCCTCTGTCTCTTTAAAAGCTCCTGCTCTTTCTGAAACTCCGCCTTCAGGAAGTCATCACAACATCTCTCCTGTTATCCCTTGAAGAACCTTTTAACCAGCGTCTCACTGAGAAGTAGGTCATATAATTGGTAGATCTGAGCGGATACTCAGTTCCACCAATTAGGTGTTTGCTAATTGCTCCTGGTTAGTCTGAAGGAGCTGAGTGAGTGGGTTGAAAGCTTGGAAACTGACAGCCAGGCGTTTTCCTCAGCTGAATGGTTGCCATGGAAGATTAAATGATTTCTAAAGCATTCATGAAAGAATCAACACTTCATTTACATTTTAGATGAGGGAATAACATTATAACAAGATGTGAAACTCAAAAAGTCAAATTCACCTAAAATAAGCAGCTTATAAACTTGATTACGTTTTAATAACAATAATTTAGGATTATTGGTCGTCAACATGAAATGCTGCTGAACAACAGGGCTGTAAGGACTGAGTCTGTATTTTTTGTTGTGCTTTTTGTTTTTGTCGTGCAGGATCTTAACTCGCTGCTGTGGCTCGATGGAAAGAGCAGAGCAGATGCAGAACGACAGGAGAATAGTGATGGGGACTAACTGGATCCATGATTCTAGATCCTATCTGCTCTCCCGGGAGGAATGAGAGGATAATTGCAAGAGCAGAGCGGGAGAGACGGACAGGAAGGTCAGGAGGAATGTTATAGAAGAAGTTAGGAGGAGCAGAAGGTTCAGAAAGAAGCACAGTGAACCCAGAACCAGGGAAATATTACATAATGTAACAGAAGGTTAGTGAGGGTGGGAGATATGACTGGATATGCTCATAACCACAGTGCATTGATAAAGAATAGCATATCCCATAACTTTAAGCTCTCTGAGTGGATGGCATTGGCCACGGTTTCTCAATAGGATTTAGGTCTGGACTTTGACTGGGCCATGTGAACACAGTTCTGATATTACCCCTCAAGTTGGAAAAGTGTATTTGTTCTGTTGTGGTGATCAAAATTATAAAATGTTTTTTTTAAGTTTGAAAAAATATACAAAAGCGCCATTAGAAACACAAAACATGGTATGTTAAATACGCGATACCAACTTCAGAAATAATAAATATACATGTATAAAAGTTGCTGAAGTGTAAAACAACAACAAAAAAACCTCCAAAAGCAAATCTGAATAATCATGGATTATTTTCAACGAAGCACCAAATAAATAGTTTAATCTTATAATTTTATCACTACTTTTCACAACAGCCACTCCACAATGGTTACTTTTAAAGAAAAGCGTGCAACATCTTTCACCTTGGCCAGGCATACAGGAAAACAGCTCTGTTTTTGTAGCTGTATAACAATCATTATCAGCCTAAAAAAACATTCTTAAAATTAAGCATTACAAAAAAGATGAAATAAATATAAAATCTAACTCATTAAAGCCACAACTGAAAAGTAACAGGGTGGTGGACTCAAAGGAATCGAGTCCTCTTCATTATTTTTTGTTTCCTGGCTGCATGAATGTTTTCAGATTATTCCTCTTGGATTAATTTTCTGCCTCAGAGGATCTAAAACATTATCATATCAAAGCAGGAAATCAGCAGGACAACAAAGACTCACTGTTGCCCCAATAAAGACCAAACTTTCTGATGTTTATGTTGATGTCTCACAGGATCTGTTCCGTGCTTCCACATGAAGGTTTTCTTGGGAAACGCTTACATAACTCCCATATTTATGTTCTTCCAAACGACATAAAATCTGTACTGCAAGCAGATTGTGCATCATGTTCTCCTGGATGTTTGGATTCATTTCAGGATTAAGAGAAGAAACTGTTGCTAAGGGAGGGTCAGAGGTCATTGCGTTGATGCATGTGCTTCTTCACAAAGAGAAGAAGCATAAAAGCAAAGCGACATCAAACATAAAAGCATCAGTGAAGCCGTGCGTTGCTTTTCTTGGTGTCTTTGCTCGTTGCTGTTTGCCTTTCGAGCCTCTTGGATTATTCTTCCGTCCCGCGGGACTTAATCCTGAAGTCGACCCGGCCTGAAGGTCGGCGGATCTGAAAACACTGGAGGAGCTGAACAGGAAGCGGTCTGAGCGGAGAGTGTCACCAGAAGGTCTGAGATTTTCCCTGGGAAGGATCCAGTCACTCAGCTGTCCATACACTCTGCTGTTTATCTCTGAGCGCAACTTGCGTCAGCTTCAGCATACAACCTCTAGATCATCTGAAACGTACCCAGCATAGTGTTCCTGCTCCTGGGAATTTGTATATTTCACCCTTGAAATATATTTAAACTGTATATTTCAAGGATGTTAAGTGACGGAGCTGCTCCACATCTAGAATTGTGAAGATGCGTGGATTAAGATGTTCTTGACAACCGGAAACAGAAACGTGGTGGTCCATGTTCTCTTTAACAGGGACAGAGAAATGACCCAAACCTAATCTTAGCCCCTAACCCTTAATCACAAACTACACAGAGAGTTGGACAGCAGAAGGGATTCGCCAAAGAAAAAAATCATGCCTCACTTTCACCTCCGTTCCTCATTGGTGTTTTTGTTTTTCAGGTAATGTCTCTGTACTTTCCTTACTAGTGGAAACATTTCAAATGATCAGTGGCAGTAGGAAATGACAAACTGCATATTACAGGGAGAAACATTTGTTTGAAATATATATTCCACAGCCAGTGACGTGTGGTGAGGTTCATAACTGGTGAGGCACTGACGTCATCATAATCAGATTTACAAATATAGACCCCCTGCATGTTGTTTACATGAGGAAATTTTGCGCATGCGGACAACGCTGGAGGGTTAAAAGACTATTCTTCTACATGTCATGCATGGCCACGCTGCATGACAGTAGAATAATTCCGTTAACTCAATCAAACGTAGACATGAAGATATTAATTTCATGCTGTGCTCCACAGCAAAGAGAAAAACTGTTAAAGTATTACTCAAAACTACGTCTTTCTTGCTCTCTGTAACAGCGCAGCTACAGGCAGACTCGTTGCATAGCACCTGACAACGCAACAAAAAAGAAAAGCACTATAAAATATTCCCCACACAAAGAGCAGTAGTATGGTTTTAGTCTTAATGTTTATTTTGAGATTATAAATATATCGCTGCATTTCACTCTATTGTATGGCTAGCTCTCTTACTCTGCAGTTGTGGAATCACAATGTCTGGGATCATGAGCGCCCCCTGCCATGAGGCAGGAGAACTGCCTGCCTCACCTCTAATCTCTTCTCTGTCGTTTCTGATCGCTCCTCAGCACACGAAACACGTTACACACAACTGGTGACAAAAAATATTGTACATTATATAGATGAGCTAAATTATGGAAAATCAGTTCATACATTAAATATTTTTTAGCCATTTTATTTGACGACGTACAGATAGGAGGAGCATGCTCTCATTGAGTGGCGGCCAGTGCAGTTAGCGAGAGGTTGATCAATCCCAGGAGAGGCTCAACTCTCTGCTGCCTCACTGACTTCGCTTCCGAGCATTTGAATGGGAAAAGGCAAAAATTCAGCGATTTTGAAGAAAAAAGAAATCAGAATTGATTACTAAGCTAAATGAAAAATTGGTACTTTAATAGTACAAATCACAGGCTGAAAATAGCAATATAAATTATTTTATCATTAGATATCATTTTTCCATGATGACATGTGAGGCTCTGCCTTCCCTGACGGCACGTCACTGATCATAGCATAGCATGAGAAAACTCTGTGTCCCAGCACACCTTCAGGAGCATCCTCCTACTCCTGATGAAGTCATTGCTCTGATAGTTGTTGTTTTTACTCTCATCTATGTATTTGTTGGTTTCCTGCCTCTGCTGCTTTATTTTTTTTCCGGCTTGGGTTGGAGGGGCAGGGAGGGGAGGCTTTTAGCAAGGAGAATGTGTTTGTGGTTTCTCATCCGTGGCTTCCTTTGTGCCACGGATGAGGAACAAAGGAATGGGCCCTTAACATATTCCCAACATAGCAACATTTCCTGTTATCTACTATGTGTTTGAAATAGTGAGAAAGACACTCCGGTGTTCACAAGAAAGACAGTTCCTCCATTTTCAGTTGCAAGATTTCCAAACTCCACCAAGCTTGAAAGTAAATAACTCTTTTGACAAAAGCAGAAACAGATTATAGCCTCTTATTCTCAATAAGATAAATGAATATGGAAGATTTAATAGTGAACTGCTACTGTAGTGACCAAAAGCTCAGAAAATGTGATTATTTTTTTCTTATATTTAAAAAGTAGGATGCAACATGTGCAGTGACATGATAGCTAACTGTTGTCACTAAACAGTAAAAACTACTGTGTTGATTACAGTTTGCTAAATGAAAAAAACAACAAAAAAAATGCTCAAATTATTGTTCATCTTTGTGGAACATACTGTGGTGATTGATGGTGTTGATGAGCCGGATCCCAACGTGAGCGTGGTTGTACGTCACCAGGACGATGTCGAACAGTTCTTCACTCTGGGGATAAAGCTCCCTCAGGCGAGCGTTGACCGTCTCCAGGGCCTGTCAGAGGGGCGTTGGAAACAGTCACCCTGGAAGAAGTTCAACTCAAACACCATCACACCCCAGAAATCTGTGCAGATCTATCACCTTGACGAAAGGAAAAGCAGGTCCCGGCGCGAAAGGCTCGTTCTCGTGTTCGATTTGGTACCTCAGGTATTCCTCCACTCCTTTCTGCTCGAACACCTTCTGCTCCCGCTCGGTCCGAAACAAGACCCGGGAAGAGACGGCCACCGTCACAGCGTTCTCTGGCTTCGGCTGAAGAAAAACAGAGATCTGGGTTGAGAGCGGAGTGAATTTAAGAATCGAACTAAAAGGAGAAGAACAAAATCAATGTGTCAATTTTATAATCCATGGTAGAAGAAATTAGGGGGTAAACCCTGTTTTTATATCCTTATGAACCCTTTGTAGACCAGATTATGTAAGGACAAAAACTTATTTTGGGTGATTGTATCTTCAATCCTGTTCCTTCAGTTGTTAGCCAAACCTTGTGACCATGATCATATGAACGTAGATCAACCAGTGACTCAAAAGTTTTTCCCTTTGAGTCACTGGTTGACTCCAAAGGAAAGTCTCTCACTCCATTTTTCCCTCATGTGTCAACAAGAGTGTGTGTGGCTGGCGGTTTGAGTGTGTTTCGAGTTGATTATATCCTTTTGACCATTTCTTTTCTACAGTAATTTAGAAGTGACTATAAGAAATTGGTTGCATATAAAACTCTGACTAATGAAACTCCATCATATAAGACATCTGGTAATTGCCAAAAGAGCAAAGAAAAATAAGAAAAATTGAAGTTTTTCTTTGTTAAAACTGGGACACACAATTTGGGTGGCATGTAGAGAAAATTAGAATTTTATAAAATGTCACATATACGACACAGATCTGGATATCCCTTTGGAGACGCCTTAATCTTTTTATTTTTTTAAATGTGTAGTTGTGTCAAAATCGTTCTGCACATCTCTGTATGTTTTTGTAAATGTGCAATCGCCACCAAATAAGCATTTAATTTGCTTTTATGTTGAATTCTTTTCCTAAATCCCTCCCCTTCCATGGACTCAGGAGGAAAGATCAGGACGCCGTTCTGTCCTCATGTTACCTGATGTGTATGTTTACGCTGCTGTTTGGAGGGTGAGGGCAACATTCCTGCCAGGGCAGCAGGAATTAGTGCCCACAGCTGCACCCACTGGGTGAACACTGGTGGCTGTGCTTGTATGACTTTGCCTCACAGTGTGTGTGCGAGCGTGTATGTGTGTGTGTGCTGTCCACGGCTCACACATACAATCTGTTACATCGGAGGAAAGGTGTAACATCTTTTCTTTCGCTTGTAAAAAGTTGCTACACTTCCAAGTGGGCAACCACTACGTGTAAACATCCTTTTTTGTTATTTTATTTTTTAAGGAGGAGGTACTATTATAAAGAAAGTGCAGTGAAAACGATACAGGTTAATAATAATAATAATAATTTACTTGAGATTAGCCAGATTTTACTGGACAACTGAACTAAAGGCTTTTGAGTGTCCTAGTCCAAGGCACAACTAAAATTCAATTAAAATGCCGTGAAATTATTTTAAACAGGCTGTTCATGCTAGAAAACCTCCAAAGTGGCTGAATTAAACTAAATCTGCAATTAACACAAATACTTGACGTCAGCTTGGTCTTATTACAATTCAAAGGTTTTTACTTTTGCATATAAAGCCACCTTGGTGTGGATACATGTTTTTTCCCCATTAATAAATGAAATCATTATAAACCCTACTGTTTTTGTAATTTTTTTCCTGTTGATTTGAGATCAACAAAAGAGCAAAAGCAAAAAAAATTAGAAGTTAATAAAAAAAACTTGAGGTAGCTGTTCTCATTTTAATATACTTGTCACCAACAACTATGTTTTGAAGCTGAATTTCAGCCCTTTTCTGTGGCTGCTGCTTGGGTTTTGTTCAAACAGGAAGCACAAAACAGCACTGCTCTGATATAATTGTTGGTAAACAGCAGAGTGTTCCTCTGTGTTGAGGCATCTGCATGCTTGTGTTTCAGCTGAGCTGCTGCTGATGCGTTTAGCTATGATCCGCCGCTGACAAGTTACACACTTACCTGGTAACACACAGACAAGGCCTTGACAGGACACATCTGAGCAAAAGCCAAACATAAACTGTAAGGTGCAAAACGATCCATTTTTCGGAATAACAGGTGAATTTGAAAAATGTATTCACCTGTTATCAGAGCCATTATTTGTGAAATGTCACTAATTTTCCTTATTGCCAGCAGGTGTCTGGTGCAGTGAGTGAGAATAGAGAGCTTCTGATTGTTTCTCTATGTTTTGGTAAGCTGGCCGATTTGAGTCTCATCTATCTGACGGATTACAGTTTGTTCATCTGGACACTAGATCTTCACTCTCCAGGATTACTTGTGGAGTTCCACGGAGTTGTGTGTTTGGCCCAATTGTTTTTACATCTGGTTCCAGGTTCTGCTGCAAGTTTCAAGTGACTTCCTGCTGATCCACAGGGAATGACTGCTGCCAGTCAATGACTCAAAGCAACCTGCTGGGTTTCCTGAGATGGAAACTTTTCAAACTTCTTCATGTGAATAATTAACTGAACTCGCTGTACCGTTTTATCACTCAGGTCAATTGGAATGTATGTACAAAAATATTTTAATGATTTTTTTTTTTTGCAAAGTACCTGTTTGAGACATTTTGAAGGCACTTTTTTATTAGCAGCTTTCAGATTACATCATGCCACATGTTTGTTCATCTATACATTTACCTAAATAATTCAGATTTTTCTTTGAAAGGCATAAAGTGTTTCTCTGTGGATGTGCTCCATTGGTGCCATTTTGACACACATACACCCATAATGACATATAGGTACACACACACACACACACACACACACACACACACACACACACACACACACACACACACACACACACACACACACACACACACACACACACACACACACACACACACACACACACACACATATTACAGGCTTCATTAGCTCAGAGTGTAAAATCAGCACAACGCACGTGACGATGAATTGGGTCAAGCGGTTGGTTAGTAACACGGGTTCGTGTGCGATCATGCAGCCGTCACACAGAAGGTTAAACACGCAGGGCGAAAGGTCGGCACGGATGCTCGCTCAGACACAACGTGATGACGAGACATACTTACGAAGAACACGGCTCCCTCCACCTTCCGGGCCCGTCTGCCTGTCACCTTAGCAGAACGACAGTTTGTTTTTATTCAGCAGAAGGAAGCTTGGACATTTATTATTGTTATCATTATTAGAAGATGTCTGAATTTTCACTTTTTGCCATTTCCTGCAGATAACTCCAGTTTTTAGAGTGACAGGAGGTGAAATCACCCTCAGTGCTTCATGTTTGCAGACGACGTTGTGGTTTGTGACGGATTAGCAGGACGTATGAATCCTTTGGTGCAGTTTATCCGTTAGAGTCAGTTGACTCTATGAATAACATGTCACACAGTCTGGGAGTGACGGCCGAACCGGAGTCCAGTTCTTTGCTGTGATTTGATACTGGAAGTGTTAACTGCCTGCCCTCTGCCCCAGCGGGGCTCCTTTACCCCAGGGGGAATTCGTCAGTCGTGAGACTCTTCTTCACAGAAACCCACTGTGACTTCAACGCTAGCTTACAATCCCTGTTAGAGGGGTGACTATATGTGCAAATTGGGAAAAAAATTTTGTTTGTTCTTTGGTGTTTTTTCCATTAGTTAAACCCACAGCTTAACTAATGGTTAAGCTGTGGGTTTAACTCCTTATATGAAAACTCTCAGAACTTTTGTGACATCTGTGTTTAATCCTGGTCATTGACTCATCTTTTTTTTTCTTCTTCTTCGTTTTACATAAAAGACAAATTTCCAGAAAGATTCTGGAGTATAGAAGGGAAGTGAAGAGGTGAGAGTATGAGCAGAAAGTAGTTGGGTGAGTGCACACTTCTGTTATTTATAGATAAGGTAAAGGCCAGTGATGATGCAGCCTGTCCAAGACTTGGCAGACATGGTAACACTGGCGTGTGATGGTACACACTACCACTAAACAGCAATGTCACTCTGAAATCTGACCCGAGTCGTGTTGTTCTTTGAAACAAAACAAAAACATCTTGTTAGCCAATGAATGACAGAAATCCTACAGTAAACAGTGTTAGACCACTGATAAATATCGGATCTAAACTGGGACACCCGGCACTGTGATCCTTTTACTTATTATAGCGTACCTTGCTTTGGAAGTGTTTTATTCATAGTCCACCGTAACGTGACTCTGTTCCCAGAAGGAAAGTGATTTATCATAAAGGAAAACTGTCCTCAGAGATAACAGCAAGCAGCATAGCTCCCACTGATGTAGCTCATATGAAGACATAATAATTTCCTAATTACTGGGAACATTTAAAATCAAAGCCAAAAAGACTCAGAGGTAACAAAATCAACTGTGTTCTGCAAAGCTAACACTGTGCCAGCAAGCCTCCAGTCTGTCTAAAGTAAAGTAACTGAAGGATTGTGGAAAATAATGGATCCAAATTTAGTGCTTTCTGTAAGACATCTCTGTCTTTAAAAGCTTAAGGCTTTTGCATATTGGTTTGACACACAAAATGAGGCATAACATTATGAGCTGCTGTTTCATAATTAGCAACACTTTGAGTTTATTTTTCTATAGGTCTGTTACATAAGAGAAGAGTTATAAACCGAGCTAAAACTGAAATCTCAGTCTGTTGTTTCTGCTACCTGCTTGTTTACAAGCTAGCACTGGTGCTACTGTACACCTAACTGTAAAAGAAAATTAGAAAACTACCTTTTAAGAATTTCCATTAGCTATTGCTTTAAATGTTTTGTTGAATTTAAGGCTTTGGGTGTTCTAGGAAGTCAGCTTTGTGAAAATACAAAACTTTGTAGACATAAGAGTTTGTTGGTTTTTAAATATACCTACAGTCTCACCCATAAAACTTATTTTACTGTTGTGCCTTTGAAGGAACTCTTCAAAATATAATAAAACAAACTAGAGAGTGTATATTCAAACTGTTGAACTATTAGTTTAATTATGTTGTCTTTTTGTTGTTGCTTTGATGTGCCTGTTCCAGATTATTTACATGCAAGATAGCTTAAATGTGAGTAGCTACGTAACATTTTTGGAAATTTAAGATATTTAATTCTGTTTATGTAACATAATCTGAAAATGATCTCTTTGTTAGATATCTAATGCTGTTATGTAGACACTGTATAACAGAGGGGTATTAATATATCTGTGCTGCTGCTGCTGCTGTGAATTTGAAAGTGATGTTATACAATAATATCTGGTTTTGTATTTTAGCACAATCATCAGTGGGCCCACATGTTGATCTGAAAATGCACTAATCCTCACCCAGCAGAGATTACTCAGCATTTACTGTAGTTTCATGCACTTATTTGTTATTCTTCTGCTTCATGCTTATGAAACTAGCAATAGGACTGCAGTGAATCCCTGTTAGTCACCCAGAGATGACTTAGAGGCTTATTCCCTTGGACTTGAAAAGTGCTACAGACTACAGTACATCCTGTTCAGTATATTGATATCTTTCAAAGCCAAAAACAGCCCTAAGCCTTTGGCTGCAACACTTCAGCTCCCCATGCTAACCTGTGGGTAGCAGCTTCACTTCCCTGAAGGCTCTCAGAACTGACTCAAACTTCCGCTTGTTCACAGCTTCCACTAAAGACAATTTAAAAAAAAAAAAATAAATAATCTTTATATTTTTTCACTAAGTGGCACTAAAAGTGAAATTACTGCTAAAAAATTGGGTGGTAACCATTTTGAAAGTGAGCAAAGGCAGTTGGCATAGTGACAGGCATGTGGGAGAGACCTGACCACAGTCCACCTGCTATACCTGGTCATAATAATTACACCATATTGACAATAATGTACTGAATATGTAGAATAGGTGAACGTCTTTCTGTGAGTTTTGTCTACAAACTAGAATTTACAAAGGAAACATTTTACAGGACAAAGAATCAAGTGGTCAAAACAGAGAATCAAGCTCATGTTAGCCTAGCATCTTAGCAAACTTTCGCAAAAATTCTAATTTGGAGCTAACAGTCTGTGGAAATAAGCCTGCTCTAAAGTCCTGTGGGAAAAATGATTGTTGGTGATAAGTTGGCTATAAGTTAGGCAGGAACTCAATCCCAACACTACTACAGACCACTTAATACTGCTGAAATAAAGTTTGAATATTAAGTTTATGATATCTGAGAAGGCTTTCTTTTTTAACTAAAGATAATTTCTTTTTCCACATTCATAAAAAATAGACAACTGTTGGTAGCTGTTTAGGAGATTTACAATAAATTCAAACTAATATATTTCTTTTTGAACAGTTAAAATTGCATTGCACAAATTAACCATTGTATGTAAAAATAATTGAGGTTAGCATTGTCATCAGTACCATTATTTTGTAAAATATAAAAGCCTGCAAATGAGAAAAATATTTCAGAATATAACTATTATAGAACTCTAGATTGAATGAGTTCATTGAAAGGGGACAGAGCAATTAATCTGTCTACAGTTGATATTTACATAGATTCATTCTATTTTTGAGAGAAGGAAACACATATTTGTTGAGGTATGAAAAGTAATGAAGTCATCAAATTTACTTTCAATTTTCTTCAGTAACACTGTTACTGAAGAAACAATGTTCTTTACTGAAACAATGTTCTTTACTGAAACAATCTTCTTTACTGAAGAAACAATGTTCTTCAGTTAAGAACATTGTTTTCAATGGTCTTTACTGAAAATGATTCCTGGCCTTAACATCCAACTGCCGCCATTTAAGACACACCAAGACGTCGGCAGGTGTACATCTTTAAACCGTTACCTGCAGAAAGCAGCACTTCAGAGGATAAGGGGATGATCGTCTCAGAACAGAATGCAATCCGAACTGCGACCACGGTTTGTGACACTCACCGGCTTCGGTTTGGTGGTCAGCTCCAGCTGGTTGGGGTCGAACCCTTCTTTCCCCTCCCAGGAGCCTCTGGCGTCTCCGTTGAACGGAGGGGAAACTTTGAGCTCCTTCACCTGTCCGCTCATCACCTGTACGGTGTCCAGACTCATCTTCACCATAGACGGTTCCTCTGTCTGCGCCTCCACAGCTGTCAACCCTTACACTCTTACTTTAGAAACCTACCCCCCCCCAAAAAAAAACAGGACACTGTGTTCCTCTCAAACAAGAAAAAGAATAAGAAAAAAGACAAACGGAAGAAGGTGAAACTAAAACAAAAATGTCCTTCTTCTGTTGCGCACATGTGACAGGACCAAAAGTTCATGTGTGCATGAGAGATCTGCTTGCACCTGCCCTTAAATCACACTGAAGAGTTCCCTCTTCTTCCTCATGCTCTCTGCCCCATACCCTGCCTCTTTTTTTCTCTCTTTTCCCCCTCCCAAGAGGATTACTGCTCTCAGCATCCAATCCAGAGGACATGAAAGACGCTTCACAGTTATTGTCCCACACTCAGTCCCTCCTTGGTGACAGTTTGACCGCACGCAGACGCAGGCAGACCTACATTCTGCCTGTCCCTGGTCAAAGTGTTGCAGGCTGTGCAGCGCTCCATCTGCTGTCACCTCTCTCTTTCACTGCCTTCCCCCACAGCCCCTCCACTACCCTTCACCCCCCAACCCATTCACTCCAACCCCTTCCCATCTTGTAACACTCTGTCCCATTCAATCACTCTCTCTCCCTCTTTCTCTGCTCCCTGGTTTGATTTGTTCCCCTCCGCTGCTGACCAATCAGAGCCCCGCTTCCTTATTCAGCGCGACCCCGCCTCCGCTGACCTCGTGTTGACGGTGCAGTTTAGCCTAAGAGGCTCATGGGAAGTTCAGGCGCAATAAAAATAGCCATGACGTCGCTCAAGAGGCAAGTGGATTATTTGTTTTGGTTTCATGATTTTAACACATTATGTAATTTTTTTTTTCAATTTGTTTGTTTACTTGGAGTTCCCCCTCCCACCTCCCCATTAGACGTTGCCGTGACAATGGCTGCTCTTCCTGGGGTCCACATCATTAAAAAAACAATTCATTACAATAACAGCATATTGAGTCATAAATACGCAACTATAACACTTCATACGCTAAAATTATTAAGCAACACTCTTTTAAAAGTTCCAGCATTTGTTACACTTATAACAGATGATGTGAGTTCCCTCTAAAAATAACACAAGAATATTTGTGAATTATTCAATTAAATTAAAAAAATATATATTATTATGCTTAAAAGTCAAACCCCAAATTACACAAAGCAAAACTTGGTTATGGAAAAAGATGCTCTTCTGGTGAGTATGAAAGCCAGTAAGGGAGGGGCAGATCAGGGATTGGGAATAAATTAGCCTAAAGGTGGCAGATAATGGATGTAGCCTTCATTAAAAAAGGTTGTACTAAGAGCCATTAGCCATGCATGCTGAATTCTGCTACATTTGTGTGCCTCAGTGGTTGCACTCAGGTTTATTTTTACGCAACTTTGCATTTTTCCCAGTGATTCAGTGACATCTTTCCACTCAGTTAGATCTCATATCTGCTTTACATACAAAGAAAGATCAGTTGTAACAGAACCAGTTCCAAGTTTATGCTGAAATGATGCTGCATTTTTCTTTAACTATTGTCATTACGTTTTATACGAATGAACCAAAAAAAAAGATTTGTAGAGAAGCCCTGTTGCCTGTGTGCTGTATCCATGAATGCTATTTATCAAATCAAGTCAATAAAAGGAAGACCGTGGACGTTAGCTTCTGTGCTGTATTAAAACAGACAGTCTGTCTTTGTTTTATTTACAGATTTCAGCTATTTATGAGAAACTCTGGACTCAAATTCTATTGAAAATCAGTGGCAAGATGTAAAATTACATTTTCACATAAACGCTCATCCACCCTGACTGAGACCGAGTTATTTTGCAAAGAATACTGGGCAAAAATATGGTATTTATCTATATGCAATGCTGTTAGAGACTTACCCCCCCACCACCAAAAAAAGGTTTGCAGGTGTCATGACAAAATCCTGGCTGAATACCAATGAATTTCACACTTTTCAGATGGTTTTGTAAAACGGAATTATGAAACCCGCATCCACTTCAGTTATGCTCTGCTTTGTGTCGCACTATCACACAAAACCCCAAGACAATACACAGAAGTTTGTCAATTAGTTGCTCCAGCATGTCTGATTTGACAGCAGTGAAGTTTTTGTATTTGTGTAAACAGTGGTGACTGTTGCACAAACTCTAGCCGCTTTAGGTCTACTTTGAGATTTTGTGTTTGTTTGGTTTTTTACTATGACATTCACTTCCTCTGTGTTCAGCGTCCTCATATCTTTCTCTCTTTGTTCTCTTGGCTTGTTATGTGAATATGAAACTGCCATGAGCGAACTGAACACCTGACCTTTACATGGTCCCTTTTTTCAGCCTTTGTGATAAAAATGTCACAGACAAGTTGTTGTACAGGTGGAAAAAGAGGCAGGTAAAGGGAGGGGGCGCGCTGAGCGTGCAGCGCCCCCCTGTGGCCACTGCGCACTCTGCACCCTTTTGCTGCTCTGGCGTTTCATGGATTCTGTCTGCTTGTGGCCGCAGTGTGTGCTTTTGTGGTGTTTGGTTTTCCACTGAGCTGAAAAGCCCGATGCGGTGAGGCTCAGAATAGGCTTTTATTGATCGTTGATGGAGGGCTTAGGGAATGTGCAATGGAAAAAGAGAGGGAAAAAAATGGCGAGTTGGGAAGTTGTGTAAAGGAGAAACTGCAATAATTGAGCCCCATGTTGGATTTCTTGAGGTATGCGCCTTTTCACACCTTTATAAATCAAATTAAAGTAATTTATTAATCACTTCTGATGAGTCATCTCTCTGTTTCGCTCCTCCTCCGCTTCTGTCTAGTCGATGAGTCAACCATCACCGGAGGGTTGATTACCTTCCACATTACATCTCACCGCTCCTTCTGCCTCCACCTAAATATGTGCAGCAAACACGGTTTGTGTGGCTCGTCTCCTTGCCTCGTGGCCCCAGCACGGTTACCATGAGAACAGCGTTTAGGGGTGACATCACTGCAGCAGTGTGGCATCATCACTTAGATGACTCATGCTTGTTTTTTCCCCCTTTTTTCTTTTTTTAAGTCGGCTAATGGCTTTTTAGAAAGAGGGTAGAGGGACAGGAGAAGACATGCGGTAAAGGCAGGGTGTGACTTTGTGATGCAAGTTGGTGGGGATGAAAAGGAGCCGGAGAGAGTAGTGTTAGCTTGTTGATGTACCCACCGTTACTGGAAGGACTTTTCTTTTCTAGTGCTAAGAATAAAGCCAAACGTTACATGTGAATGCCAGTCTTATTCAATAAATCAGGATATACGTCCTGATCAGGCTTGTCAAATAAATATCACTTTTCTAAAATGATCTTTTAGCAAGTATTAAACATACTACAAAATATAAATATGTTAAAACATATGTAATCTATTTAATCAACATGATGCCTTCCACTTGGTGATGGGATTGCCATCAAACAGGAATCAGTCATATTCTAATATATGGAACGAGTCTGTGTATTTGCTGAAAGCTGTTGGGCCCAGATAGTTGAAAACAGTTTCACAATTCAGTCATATTTTTTTAAGAACTGTCACACAGTTGCTGTTTAATGTCTGATTTTATCAGGTGCTAAAAAACATAAACAACTTGAGATTCTGTAATAATCAAAATGCTATTGAACATTTCAAAAGCAGTAATAAGTAACTTCTGTGACCCATAATTCAATTTTACTTAATAGGAGCCGTGATTTAAAATTGAACAAACTTTGACCGCTATAATGCTTCATGAAACATTTCATCCTATTTGGCGATCGCTAACTGAAACACCTGCACTTCTTCAGTTTTGTGAGGAAGTGCGCAGCAAGAGTACATGCTAAGCTGAGCTAGCATAGCCAACCGACCACTCTCCCACTTTCCATGTTTTTGGAATTAAAGCTTTTCACTTGCTTGTGAAATGCGATGCCCTTGGACCCCGTCATCTTGCTGTCGTAGTGTTGACAATGAACATCAAAAACTTTTTGTCTTCTTCTCAGACTCTCTGCTCGGTTGCGCGTCATTTTCTCCGACAGCCGATATTTCCGACTCGTTGTGAAGCATTAGCTCGTGTGGCGCACACCGAGTCACGTGACGGACTTGCAGCCGTTTACGTTTCACATAAGAGTTGTTTTTTTTAAGCATTAATTTACCTGGCTGTTAATGCTTTCAACGTGCAGCTGTTGCCGAGTTGCGTAGATGCAGCCACGTAAAGAAAGAAAGAAACCTTGCAGGACATGGGGTTACGCCTATGGGCTAAAGGCACCGAAGTCGCGAGCCGAACCCGTCCGGGACAACCGAGAAGAAAGCCTCCGCACACGCCACGCCGCGCGACGCGACGGGGTGACTCATGCTAGCTCTGAGTCGGTTCCTGCGCGCGTGCCTCGGAGCACCGACACTCAACGAGAGGAAAACACACGTCACTCTTGACATTTGTTTTATTCTATGTAACAAAAATAATTACAATGTTTTTTTTTTTTTGTTCTTGTTGTTCTAGGACTCTAATAAAATTTCAAAATAAAAGTGAAAAGGACACACAGACAGATTTACATAAACATCATAGAGAGGTTGAAGAGTATAGTCATATTGAACAACAGCGCGGACATGATTCCCTGCTAAGAAGAAAAGTTAAAAAAACCAAAAAAAAATAACAACCTATGTTGGTATTCATGTCACAGAGGTTAAGGTGCCCGTTTAGAACCGCATCACATGTAACAAGTACATCAGCAATTCACAATAAGCTCCACACAGTCGGTCAATCCCTCTCCCATCGTTGGCACACGAGAGGTGGACTTTTCTCACCAACATTCTGAACATTAGTCAAATGAAAACTGCCACATGAACTGCAGCTGTGTGTGTGTGTGTGTGTGTGTGTACACACATCTTAATTAGAATGGATGAAGCCTAATCAATACAACAGAGCGAAGACAGAAACATTGTAGATCTGTCCGGTCTGTTCCAATCAGAGCGTTTTACAGCAAACCGGCACATGTGAAATTGGATGACTAACCGTGATGTTACATCACAATTAGTGATGTAACATCACATAGCAATGATGTCGGAAGTCAAAACAGCACAAAGGGAGGCGGCAAGGCAGAGGGACCAGAAAACAATAACACCACCTCAGTCGCTGAGTTCATCTTAGTTTGTCGGCCAGATCGGTTTCCTAGAATATTTAATGCGAAGGTAAATTGTATAAACGAATAATACAGGCAGGTGTATTAGCAGACAAAAGCGAAAGCAGCAATTATATCATGCTTCGAGTGACACTGTCATGCTCATGTGTTTAGTATTAACAGAGCCTTTAAACTATCTCCATGTTTGTCTTTTGATTACAGTAGCAATGATTATTTAATGGAAAACGTAGGTGGAAGGCAGTGCGCCATCAGTTATTTTGCTTTGTTTGATTCTTGCTAGCATTTTCGGACAGAATAACTTTCTGAGATAAAAGTAAAGAAACAAAATGCTAAATATTACAATAGTAGCTGATGCCATTTTATTTATTTTTTTAAATATGAAAATGAATATCTTCTGTTCTCAGTATACGTTTCCCCAGAAGATTATTGGTGGTGCACAGCCTCCAACCTCCACTTTCTGCACAAATGATCATATTTGTTTTGTAAATTCCAGTTAAAGCAAATCTGTTGATAATTTAAATGCTCGTAAAAAGCATTCACATAAACATTCTTGATGTTTTTGAGACTACGGTTTTATCTTGAAGGTGAAAGTCAGCCTGGGACTTGGCTCCTCTCAGATTAGCCCATTAACTTTAGCCTCCACGCCACCTAATCTGGATTTGAACTGATGTACAACACACATCGAGTACTGACTGCTTCTAACAAATACCTTAAAACTGTACTGTAAATTTGCACTTCTGGTTATCGTTGTATACACATCTGCGGTACTCAAAACTGTCCTGAAAATGTTAATATGCAACTCAACTGATCTGAACAGGGATTTGAAATTTTGGTAAGAGAAAACTAAGTAGGATAATAAATTAAGCTGTCTGATTTTTAAAGAAATATTTATCTAAATACCTAATAACCATAAAAACTGTTTTTCTTTCCTAGAAAATGTCATTCTTAGAAGTCCCTCGCAAACACGGCGTAATTTCTAGAAGTGTCTCTTTTTTCTTTTCTTTTGTTTTTTCACGCGTGAATAACAAATAATAATCCTAAATGTTGCCAGGCCTACATGTGGTGCTGTGCTCCTGCCACAAAAAATACACAAAGCAGAGAGGAATAAGATTTGATGGGAATGTGAGGTTATTGCTTAACAAAAAAAAAGAAAGAAAAACTGCTCACTAATTTACAAATGGTTCTAAAGTGGGAAAACTTTTGTGTAAACAACTAACAGCATCCTGGTGTAAATCACACCTCGCTAAATGCCAGGAAATAAAACGTATCTTAAGTAAACTTTTAGCTTACCAAGTAGGTAAATTGAAGATGCTTCAGTCCAACCTCCATAAACACTTAGATGAAGCCAACAATTTTTCTGTTTGGATAGTTAGAAGAATCGCCTGCTGTTGACAGATGCTCTCTGTAACCGCTAAAACCACAATAGAGCCTTAAATCAGTCGTAACGTTAAAAGGGGTTGTAGTTTAGTTGACAAAGATTTCTCTGAGTCGCTTTTTCTTAATTTGATTAGAAGGTAATGCTGAAAAATTGGCCAATGAGTTTGACTTTTTTTCAGCCTTTTTCATGCAAAAATTAAAAAATGTTAAGTCAATTACATTTCCCCCCCCCAAATATGTAGCTTTACATTTTTTTCACATTGGGCCTTATTTTACCAACATTAACCATGTAAATTGTTCATACCGTAATTTTAAGGGGAATAAATATGGCTGTTAGTTCTGTAAGACAGTCTCCTCACCTTGATCTCCAAGGCGGTTTATCATGTACTGAAACAGGGAACATGCAGCAACTGAACTGTTTCCAGACGTGACAATTTTCTTCCAACCACTAGGTGGCACTGTGACACAGCACTGCTTCTTTATCACTTCCATCTCCTCCAAGCTAGATAACAAACTTGTCAGCTCTGCTGTTTGGGGCAAGCTAACCATTGTATAAGCTTAGCACTTGTAGCACTGCGACAGTAAGCTGCTTCATGGGGCAGATTGTACATCATGTATACCAGCAGATCACAAAAGCAAACATGTTAGGGTAATAATACTCAGTGCTTCAGAGTGGAGGTCACATTCACATTGTTACAAAGTGAAACTAGACTGAGGCATCTCTTGTTACACAAATGATACAAATACAAAACACTGAACACTCAAACAGTAACCCCCTAAATGCGCACACACAAACAGGCGCGCGGGCGCACACACGCGCATACACACACACAGAGCTCTGATGTCGGTTCAGTATTACTCAGACACAGACAGATGCACTCTTTCTCTCTCAATAGCAGTGTTGTAAAATGAAATCAGGTCTACACTATCCGTACATTTACATCTTATATTTGTTTATATTCATAAATACGATTACACTCGTATTATAATAATGTACATGTAGAGGCTCTTTCTGAACGACCAGGGAGGGAGCGTCTGCAGTGGAGGAGGAGATCATCGTCTTTACTTTGGACACAAATGTAGTGTTTACCATGGATATCTCTGATACATTCTCGCTGACATAATCAGGTTTTTACATTACTTACAGACAACTGTAATTCCCAGTCTTCAAGACAAACCAACAAACCACCCATATAAAATAACTGGTATGAGACCATGATGAAACTCAACTTCCTCATGTCTTTTATTTGTGCTATGTGTGTGATTGCACCCCCAACTGTGTGGACATGCTAAGTTTATGTTTTCATTTTATTTCGATGTTGATAGAGCAAGAACTTTAAAGAATGCTTTGCCTTCTTGCCTGGTGGTGTTATGTGGGGGAGCTCCAACCTTATTAGAATGCTTCCAATTAGAACAAGAGACTTGACTCATGAAACTGTATGAGTCAAGTCAGGAACAAAAGTGTGTCTTTCTGGGACATCCTACCAGTCGCACTGCACATACTGCAGCATCCAAAATGTCATTGGCGAGTGGCATGTAGACACTTGGAGGGGTCTGAACCCTTGGCTATTAACAAACGATTGCTTTCTGCAGGTGTGGATTCAGTTGATGTTTTAAACGACTGGATCCCATTTTACCCAATCACTAATGTTTGGAAGGTGCCAGTTCAATGAAGCAAACTGGAAGTTGCATGCTCTGCAAGCAACCCCATGAGGAGTGGGGCCAAGACATTGTCAGCAATAAAATGTCTTAAACATTCCTCTTGCGGTGACTTTAATTGTTCAATATGTGGAAGTGTGGCAAACACTGACTGAACGACTTTGTTTACTTCCTCCGATGTCATTGCTAAAACTATAATCCTGCGTAGGAAGGCCAACTTTAAAGTAGAGTCAGACTGGTATAACCATACATCTCTGAGATTGTCTATTCTAGGTTGATGTGGATCTTGGGTAAACGGTCACCAGTTGTTTTTTTTGTGTATTTCTGAGTGTTTAATGCAAATATGTAGCTAAATCATCCTGTTTTTTTCGTTCATCTAGCTTACCGCAGATGACACACAACGCCTGAGCTACCTCTTCAACCCTTTGCTCCGTTTCTCATCGATTGTAGATCTGAGCAAAGTTCCTCTCCCTTTACCTATTATCAAAGCGCTTCCTCTCTGACATTTAGGGAGGAAGAAAGAAAAAAAACGGGGCAGCAGCAGGACGCAGGCAGAGGAAGAGGAGAGACGGCTATTTAATGTGAAACAACGGTGAATCACCGTAGCAGGTTTGGCCTTTCTCAGAAATACCATTCTGTCATAAGATCTATAATTACAACTGTGATTATTCCCGCGCCGAGATGGTCAAGTGCCTCCTCTTGTTGCTCAAACAAGTGGTTTTACTGACGAAAGACTGCGGGGTTTGCAGGGTTCGACATACATTTTGCAGATCAGAGAGACTGAAGAACAAAAGCTTGGGTTGCGTCACAAGCAGAACAAGTCTCGGCATTAACCAGATTACAAACTCCTTTGACAAAATATTGATTTTTGTTATCAAAGCTGTGGGCGCAGCTAAGAAGTGACTGAGGAGCACATCAGTATGCCTGGCCATGCCGCTGGAGGCAGCCGGGTGACACGTTTCATCAGCTGCCAGCCTGGTGTTTAGCTGGTGGACATCTAGTCATAATCTGCCAGAAAAACTCTCCCTGGAAGCAGCTGGGAACTTGGCTAGGGAAAAATCTAAACCAGTGCTGGCATGGTCTGACCAAACCAGTGTGTATACTGTACCTCCAGTCTTCAGTACTGAAGGCAATAATAAGATAAAATGTCTGTTATTCCATGAATATAAAATAGCACTCTCTGTCAGATAGCTGATCTCAACACTGCTGTTACCCCGCAGCCTTGTGATCTCACGCCCAATACAGTGCGAAAGCACGAGTAACACCATGCTGCTCTGCTATGCACCAAATGCAGCAGGAGGGAATTCCACTTTTCACAAACCATCTGACTGAATTTGTCAAGCCTCCCGTCTAGAGTAACGCAGAGTGGGGAATAAATGGAATGGCGTCAATCAATCGTCAATGCCTCTTCCTCCTCCTCCTGTAGGACTGCATCCCTCCCTGTCGTTTCTCGACCTCCTAACTTCCCTAGCTTCAGTTCACCCCCTCATCCCTTCACTCCCTTCTTTTCTTGCCCTTCCCCTCCCCTTCTACTTCTGCATGTCACACTGCAGAAGTAAGACGATGGAAGGGTCGGACTTGGCCGCCTCTTTGAACTCCTCCAGGGTGATCTCGTCGTTGTGGTCCTTGTCCATCTTGGAGAAGATCTTGTCGACGCGCTGCTGAGGCGTCAGCCCATCCTCGTTCATGCGCATCATGATGACCGTGCCAACCATCTTGTAGATGGCCTGCAGCAGAGGGTAAAAGGGAAGAAGCTGTTTTTTTAGAAGCAACCTTAAGCTTTCTTTGTAGGTAGCCCACATACAATCACACACCTCGATGATCTCCAGCATCTCCATGCGTGTGATCTTTCCGTCTCCGTCCAGGTCGTACATGTTGAAGGCCCAGTTGAGTTTCTGTTCAAAGCTTCCCCTGGAGGTGATGGACAGAGCGCAGATGAACTCCCTGAAGTCGATGGTTCCGTCGCCATTCTTGTCAAACGTGCGGAAGGCGTGCTGGGCGAATTTTGATGCGTCACCGTACGGAAAAAACTGAAGAGAGAAACCAAAGAGAAAAGCTGAAAGACAAATCATAACAATTGTACTGCGAAGAACCTTGATGCCGTCTTTGGCCATAACATGTTGGTCAAAAATGTCTGTAAATCTTACTGGATGGCAAATTCTATCACACAGAAGCTATTGGCAGAAATATCTCTTTAGTCACATTGTCATTGTTTTTACTATGATTAACTGTAACACACTCGGATCCCCAATATTTATATTTCTTTAAATATTTGGCCTTAAATTGAATTTAATGTGCCATGAAAAAAGGTCTTGAAAAGTCTTCAATTTGACTTGCTGAAACCTGCAGATACCCTGAGTTACATGACCACTTGGTTTTTCAGAGACTGAGACAGGTTACTGTTTTTTAAATGAGCTGAAAGCTAGTGAGGTGAAAGCCAAGGATCAAAAGTATATCCATGTTTTGATTACATGCTTAGATCACAGTGCCACATAGGGGCCTGTCATGACAACTACAGCACAGCAAAGGTGTCTTGGAACTTTTCCCCGAAGAGCATTCCAAATGCAGGCAGTGTCTAGTGTAAAGTAATAGCAGTTCTGGCAGCTAGCTAGACGAGATCTACAATAAATACAATAACTCAGTAGTTATAAATCTATTATAATCAACTAAGAGAACAAAAGTGATTAGCTCTAAGAGTGCTATTAGTTAGAGTTCCAGTGAAACCCAGCCGTCCTTATTAAGGCAGAATCAATTAGCATGTCTTCTTCTCCTTCACCTCGTGTTTTCTCCCGGCTCTCACCTTAACGTAGAGTTGCTGGAACTCCTCCAGGTTGAGAATGCCCGAGGGGCAGTCTTTGAGGAAGCCTTTGTACCACTGCTTGAGCTCTGCCTCGTTGAACTCCGTGCTCTTGGTCAGGTCGTCCAGGACCTCCGGTGCCAGCTTGCTGTTGTGTTTCCCCATGATGCCTCACCTCTCTGGGTGGGAAAGCAGAAACAGAGCGAGACCGGTTGAGTATGCAGGTGAGGGGCCGCTAGACAAAACAACAACAGCGGCAGCGGCGGCGGCAGCCCTGTGTTGTTGAACTGCACAGGCTTCATGAGGATGACAAACATAATGAGAACATAATTATTTGTTAACAGGTGCAGCCAGAGCAGGTCTGCAACATTTTCATCAGGCTGTGGGTGTCAGAATATTTGCCGACTTTCATCTTCCAAGTGGATTTCAGTCTAATTATGAGTTTAAAATAACATATTTCTTCTCTTTATTAATGACTAAAATGAGTGAACATCTAAAAAAAATCTGCAGTTTAACACTGAGACATTGACAACATAATTATGAGTAACATCAGATACATGAAAGAGTAAAAATAGAAGAAAGTTAGCGAGTTAAAGCTGGAAGACAGAGGGCTTCGAAATCTGCTGCAACTGTCCGTTCCTCAGAATGACGACTCTGACCTCTCGCTGTGTTAGTGAGGCCTGTGATGTCATCGCTTCAGCTTGGCTCATAAAACGGCCCATTAGCCACTGACGCCACACACATAACCCCACATGCTGATGGCCACTGCAGCACCTTCGTGATGCCATCCGTGACTCATGGAGCCGTTTTCGCACTCTGACACAGGACACAGCCGACGGCGCAGTGCCGGGCGGCCACAAGTCCTGACGGTGTCAGGGCAGTTTTCTGTCAGGGCAGTTTTCTGGCAGAAGCATCATCCTGTCGCACTAAACGTGCAATGAGTAATGGAGAGGGAGGCAGCTGAGCCCTAAATCCCTGTGAACTGTGCTATTATTTTTGAAGAGTTGCATTCCCGAAACAAGTCAAAGACACTTGGGGGACGCATTAGCTTAGAAGCAGAGTCATAAAAGATATTGATGGGAGGAATATTAGCAGTAAAACGGTAAAAGCTGTTGGAGAAAAGAAAAATGCGGCAAAGGTCAGTTCTGATTTCTTCCAGGTGTGTGTGTCTGGATTTCAAGTCAAGAGCTTACCAAAGGCGTTACATACACACCATTTCAAGAAACAAGCAATAAAATAAATTAACTCAGGTCATAAAATGCCCACTGCTAAACTCCTAATGAGTCTCTAAATTCAAAGTTTAACTAGCGCTCTCATAGATTTGCACATGTAAATGCGTGTGCAGGGCAGAAGTCCATCATGAAGGCACTGACTTGTGTGTGAGTGTGTTGTCTGAGGAACTCACTCACACACACATCATATTCACCTTGATTCTTCTCATATTTTGTGTTGTCAAAGACACGAATTCTGTGGCTCCCAAAGACAGGAGTAGGAGTCGGAACAGGCTTTTTTTTGTAGTTGTTTTTGCATTTTGCTTTGTTTGTTATTATCACAAAATATTCCTGCGAAGAATTTTGAATTATCTTGACAATTTCCAATTATTGATGCTTAATAAAAACAAACAAAAAATAACTAAAAAAAAAACTGGACTAATTTGTCACTACTTTGTGGATCCATCTGTTGTCACTGGAGACCAAATATTTTGTATTTATGCAAAATATTTAGGCTCAATCACTTTTCAGTACACCCCTACTAATCACAAATGCACAACAAATAATATTTTTTACATTTTTATTTGTAAAAGAAATGAGTCATTTGTCTTTAGCTTCCCAGGAAGTACATTTTCTTCGTAGACCCCATAAAAGTCCAAATAAATACAGTATGTGTGTTTTCACACCCGGTAGTCCAGTAGACTCGGTTCAGTTGGGGACCAACATTTGTTAGATTCTCAGTTGGTGCGATTCACTTTCACACCTCACTGTATCCAATGAGTCAGTCCCTGTGACTGAAACAGTTCTGTTCCCCTCTTCGCCTATTGTGGTGCTGCACCAAACAACACCAAACTGAAGCAAACAACACGTCAACATCAGAAGAAGACACTGAGTGCAACTTCCTTCTTCACGAAATGTAAACAAAAATGCAGTGGCATCAGATCTCAGTGGTTGTAGTATTTCTCTTTTGTCTTTAGCAAAAGACCAAGACCAGGCAAATGAATTACAGTTGGGTAAAAGCGGGTGTGAATGCACGAGAGTTGGTGAAGTGTGAACACTTCTAAAGTGGTTTTAAGCCTTTTGTTACAAAATTGTTTGTCTCTATTTGTGGAAAAAAAGGAAATAGAACTTTTTGAGGAAGTAAAGCCCATCATATCAGACCAATTATATCCGGAAAGTCATTCTGAAGGGTTGTTCTCATTAGCAGAACAAGCAACCTTTTAATCCACTAAACCCCTTCCCCAGTAGAGTCGTCGACTTTCTGACAGCTCGTCTTAGTGAGGCCTGACTCTCTGGTGTCAGGGTTTATGCAGCGATAACCATCATGGCCCGATCTCATTGGGCCAGCTGAGGTGAAGCTTTGACAAGCCAGATGAACAGCCTTCTTCAGCATATCGCTTCAGCTGCCCTGGAGGAGCTAGAGCTCATCAGAGTGCAAACAAAAAGGTGAAGGTGTGCACATGGAGAGCATGCCAAGCAGTGAGAGGGGAAAAAAGGCATAGAAAAACTGAACAACACATGGATGTCGACTCTAACCTTAACTATTCAGATTCTTTCAATTAAACATCAGCTGTATTTCCTTCTGCTGGATTGTGTCTTCTGGATCTTCTACACACACGACAGTCTCATCGTACCCTTTTGTTAACTGATTTTAACAGAACAAGCACTTACAAATAACATGAAAATGATGGAGCCTCATGATTCTTTATCCTTTATCTCTTATGTGAAATGTAAAGCTGTGAGAGTGCTGCTCACTAAAACCAGCGATTGACTCGACACTATGCTGTTGCTGCTGTGCGGAATGACGTTTTTGACATGCCATTCATGTCAAAAACACCTACACACACTCACACACGCACGCTCATTATGATGCTCGCTCTAACTACTTCAGGAAACAATAAAGGGTAAGGTGCAGGTTTTGTGTTTTGGAAACAGAAGATGCAAGCAGGATACCAGCTCAGTCCGGTTTGGCACTGCCGAAGGAGAAGACAGACGAGTTTCTTGTTGAGTGTGAAGGGAGCGTAATTCATGGACATTCCAGCCGTCACGCTGAGAGTATAACCCTGTGTGGAAAGCCAAGCTGTAAACGCATGGGGGGGGACTTCATGTGTGTCACCACGCATGTGTTTGTCAGGCCAGCTTGACGGAAACGAAGCTGACGGGGCAAGAGGCTGAAGCATGTTGCAATGCCTGCACCGTGGATTACTTAAGGATGCGTTCAACGGGAGACAAGTGGAAATCAAAGTGTTGAATACCAGGACAGCTGCTCTGCAATTCTCCAATACTTTTATTTCTGCATTGGACGGCTGCAACAGATAACAAGAAACTTGGCACTTGAAATGAATGGCCAAAGCCATTAAATAGAAAAGTTGCTTTCTTAATCCAACATTTCTCAAGTTTTTAGAAATTAAAATGTTCACACCTCATAAGTAGGCAAAGTGCCAGATTTCTAGCCTACTAGTCCCTTTTATATGGAGCCCCTTGGGGGGCACGGAAATTCTTATTTCTTTAGCGTTACCTCGCAAAAGGTTTTGCATTCTGCATACTGCCAGCCTTTCTTACAGTGGCCATTGTACTTTCTGCTACAATGGCCATTTTGAAGCTATTATAGAAAGCTTCCATAAGGCTTTTCCACAAGTTAATGTCTCTGTGAAATATCTGAAGTTGTATATCTTTGTCTTTAGCTCGAAGTCCTTTCTGCTTTGTTTCTGTCACTTTTTAAAGTTGAGGAATGTTTCATTGTACAGTCAGTTATAGGAGGCCTTCTGCAAGTGTTAAAAGTATAAAACAGCGCTACAGTTGTTTGGTACATGTACATCCCAAAGCAACACATTTCTACCAGATATTTTCAAATACGTCCACCGTTATGGTACGTTTATTTAGAAATACATGTTCTCTGAAACTGTTTGTGTTTTTTTTGTAAATTATTTTATTGCATGTACACGTCATTGAATAAAGGACTGATCTGGGACTTGGTTTCTGTAAATTTCCAATCTTGAATTACTCAAACTGGTATCAAACATATTTCTTGGCACAACTGCGTATGTCTAATCACAGTGCAATGTACGAATCAAATCATTATTCCAGACTCTCTGTCTTACTCAATATCACCTCCATCACTTTCTCAAATGCAGTTACACCTCGATAATAGATCTTCGTCTGGATGCCTGTTCACATTTCTCTTTCCAAATCCATCTAAATGCTGTTCAGACAGAAGACAGTGTCATCTTTCCTGTCTTTTCAACAAACTTTTACTCAGACGGATGGCCTGGACAGAAGGCTGAGTTTGTTCTGTGACAGTTCTGGAAGTGAAACCTTTAATCAGTGTCATAGTGCTCTGATCTAATGTGTGCTGATGTGTCTGTTCACACCGGAGTGTCTCCCTTGACGGAGAGACAGTGATCAGAAATGTTCAGTGCTTGACGAAGCAGATCATACCTTCTGTTGTGTCGTGACAACAGTACAAAACTTGAGACTCGCATTTTGATGCACGGATGTTTTGTCACACGCTGTACATGTCAATGTCGCTTCTAGATAAAGTATACACCGACGCAAACAGAAATGTGAAGACGGGGAATCCAGTTTTATTCTCCGCTGAGGTTATGTAAGGAGAATATGTCAGGTCTTTTTTTTGACAACTGTCTAGAAAAATCTATTGAAAATCTCCTTTGACAACTTAGACTTGTTAAATACACAGTTTTTATGAAACGAAAAGTTCACAGTCTGTAAGGTGTTGACAAGAACTCCCTCAGAAGACGCTAAATTTGTTCAGAATTATGCAAATTTTCCTCTTCTGAGTTTTGAAACTGGTCGTTATCAGCACTGCAAGACAAAAGCTTTTCATCTGAAATATCTCGTTTAATTTGCTGATACTGTGTAGACGTCTCTGCAAATTGGCAAAGTAACCAGACAAAAGACAACCCAACTGATTAAAATGTTCATTGATTATGTCACGGTTCACCTAGTTT